GTCATTTGTTGTATGTTTTAGGATACACAGGCAAGAAACTTTCTGTGCACTGTTAAATAGTTTAGAAAGGTTATGGGAAATACATTAATTTATGGGGTAGCCAGAGAGCATCAAATTAGACTTGTAGGTGAAACTCCAGGGAAGGTGCTTGTAAACCTGACAAAGATATTTCTTAAAGGAAAAGGACCGCCCCCCAAAACACCCAATCTCACACCCAGAAAACAAAACAAGCAACTTCCCCTCTCCTCCCTCCTCAATATAAGCTGATTAATAGGTTGTAATAGAGAAGATTTGAGAATAAGAGGATAAGGAAACTCTACTGCTACTGTGAGGTTATTAAGATGGAGGCCGCCTCAGAAAAGTGTGGATTATGACTCTACCTAGTGAAAGATTCAGAGTTTAAATTTGCTGTCTTCATTGCTATTTTTTGAGGTGCCAGCACGAAGAATCATTTGTAGGTTGACAGAACTCCCAGTGTGATTGTCCTTGTCATTTTGGAATGCTGCATGGTAAATGTAAATATTCACTAAATTTCAATATGAAGTATTATGATACGTTGAAATGAGCCAATACAGCTCCTACTTAAGAGCTTTTCTCAGGATGTCTTTTTTAGAATTCAACTTTAATGCAGTAACTCTTGTGTACCTAACTCTTGTTTTAAAGATTTGTAGGGGACCTAGCCTAGTGCTGATTCTTGAAAGGCCTTGAAGACAGCCTCTTAACAGATAACTGGAAAGATGTTGCTTCTTGTGAATAAAAAACATCTACAGTGTTAAGTGTTATCCAGGTGAAAGAAATCAATCCTATACTTTGAATGAAAGAAATGGGTGGTTTATGAACCAAAAAAAACAATTGGGGCACCAAATAAAGGCAGTGTTTGTAGTTACTGAAGCCGTTAAATAATTTTGGAAAAATTTTAACTGGAGAGGGTTTGAGTTGGCACGATTTTTATAGAAAGCTGTTCTTGTTTGCAGCATTGTTTCTCAAGTCTTCAACTCTTGAAACAGTATGCTTTGCTTCTATTTCGTTATAAATATCATGCCAATTTTGAAACACTAATGAAAGCAGGTTAATATTCAGTCTGTGATTTCCAATAAAGAGTATGTAATAGCAGTGTAATTTTTGCAGACTTCCTTGTTTGGAGTTTAGATAAACCTTGCTATAAACTAGTTGATGGATTTGCTAGAAAAGCTTGTGATTGAGTGCTATGTATGCTTGCCTTTTTGCTTCCACCTAGAATCCAGGGCCATTACTTTCTGTAACCATTTCAGTGAGCTGCCATAGTTTTCAGTCTGTACTGTCACCTGATCCAAGCATGCGCCAAAATACCCACCGTTTCTGGCTACTGTCTGCTGAATCTGCTTTGCAAACCCTTAGTTCTTAAGCTTTTGCCTTAGTGAAAAACAACAACAGACACTCATACAGAGTGTGCTGGACACATGCCATCCTGCTTCCCTAACTCCTCTAATTGTTTATGTAAATCCTTAGCTTTACTAAACTTGTAAATGCTACAATGGCATCCCCATGTGAAATTGTGTGGCTTGTGTCAAACAAGGCTGCTTGTGAAAATATTTGTCAGAAGAATTTGAATGCTACACATTGCACTGCATTCAGTGTTCTGTATCAATTTATTACTGCAATGTCATAGTGTTTGATCTTAACTGTAGACAATCATTTTGTATTTTTATATGCAAAGGTAAGTTTATGTAAATTGTGTGTGAATGTACAGTATTAATATACTGATCCTTATTATTCCCTTTCTGGAAGGGAAAATATAGTGACTCAGTTGAATGTCTTAAAGGAGGCTGGGTCTTCTACTTACAAGCAGTTGTTTATGCATGACCTTTTTGAACTTTCACAATGAGAATTTGTTGGATTTTTTTATTTTTATTTTTTTGAAAGATATTGAGCCTGATCCTGTGAGCAGTGAAGATAATGACTGGAAAATGGTTCTTATCTTTAATAAGAATGAAAATCATGCATTACATTACTACAGTAATTACAGATGCTTAGAGTGAAGAGTTAAATGTTGCTTGAGCAAGACATAGTGTTGAGCAACCTCACAAAATATGCACTTTTCATTATGATAAGGCATTCTTGTAGATAGACTGGGTAAGAAAATTGTGTTAACTCTCTTAAAAACTTGCTCTTAACTTTGATTTAAAAGCTAAATTTCCTGTTGAGGAAAGTTACGTGTTTGTAGTAGAGGTTGGGACCCGTCACTTCTCTCTCAGCCATTTCTGTTCCCTTTGAGCATGTCTGTTCTGTTTCAACATTTCATTCTGTTTCAGTTTTTCCTGTGTCCACATTCGTTTTTACTATCATTTTCTTGCTTGTAATCTTGTTCTTTACCCCACAATGCCTCATTTGTTCACCCCATTGCTTCACCTCTTGCTTTCAAGTCTTTCATTACAACATCATTTCATTTGCACAGAGAGGTCATTAGCAGTATTTGCCAAGTGGTACCTGAGGATGTGAAGAGAAAACTAACGATAATAATAAAATTAACTTTCCTTTGCCTAAGTCTTTATGTCTGGGAAAAGATTGCAGTGGTCCACTTACATCTCCATTGCAGGTTTTTCTGTGAATCATAAAAATGTCACTGGCTATTCCATCAGTGCTTACATCCAGCAGCCTGTGATCAAGCCTGGTTGAGCAAGAAATGTCTTGTGTGGTCAGTGCTCCCAGTTTTTCTACCTAGTTAAACCATTCTCTTATAGAGGGAAACACATTAATAAGCAAACTTCTTGACTGTGATTGGATGGAAGAAGGAGAAATGTCTCTTTAGACCCTTTTACATTCTACCAGGAAGAATTAGTGATGACATTTAATTGGTTTGCTTATGGTCTCACATCTTCCTGTAGCTTAATGTGTTTTGTCTGACGTCGTGGTCTTTGCCTTAAAATGTGTTTCCAAAGTTCCTCTGGTTGCATAGTAATGCTTCTGTTAACTGGTGGCAGCGAGGACAGCCTGTGCATTTCTGTACCCGAACACATGCAATAAAAAGTTGCTTGATGTGTAACAAAAAGTTGATAACACTGTTATCAACAGTGAACTTGGGAAGTCCAGTGCAGTGATGTGATGGGCTACTTCTGCTCAGCTCTTGAAAGCTGAAAAGTGTGGGAATTTAATAGCAGGTACCACAGTCATCTGAGTCTTGAGCACTTGATTTTTCCTGCCAGTAAAACTGTTTCAATGCTGGTTTCATTCTGAGGAACGGCAAAATGCAATGCCTAGAGATTTTACTGGGAATGTGTTGAAACCTGCTGAAGGTAAACTCAACTGGAGTGTAGCGTGATTGATACAATTCATGAAAATCCTCAGTCTGCTTTATGTTTTGGTGTCTATATTTTTTGTCTCAGTTCTTAGGAAGGTTCTCCATGATCACTGTAGTTTTTTGTTGTCATTAGCATGTTTCTTAAAGCGAATGTTGGATGACCTTGATTCTACACACCCAAGCCTGCTGTTAGTACAGTATGAGTACACAAGCAATAATATCTTAAAATAGATATGGTTGAATAACTAACTTATTAATACAAACCTTTGTGCTTGCTTTTTAATTATTACAAAATGATCATTGGTTTATTTTAGAAAGCTGAAAGCCAAATTCTGAATTAATAAAAAAAGAAAACTGAGGTGAAATCATGGATGAATGTATCTTGCTGTACGATGTTTTTGTTTCAGTAGGTTTCAAAATATCTGTATATCTGCATCTTCCATTTTTGTTCATCACGTTGTCAGAGAACTTAGTGTATGATATCGAATTATCATACACTATATTTATAAATATTCCTAATAGCACAAAAGTGCGAAAGTGGCTCCCAATGGTTCTCAGATTTCATATTTTATATTATGACTTAGCAACGAGATCCTGATGGCTAGAACTTGTATCCATGCCAAATGCAATTGATTCCAGCGGAATTGTGTGAGAATCTATCTGTTCAGATCCTCTTGTAGATCTGAGCGCCTACAGTTTGGTTTTGTTTTCTCCCTTGTTTTATGTATCAACAGTCAACATAGTTTTCCATTTTGAAAGATGAAGCACTTTATAAACCTTAGTTTTAAACTGTAGTTTTTGAATTCATATATAAAAAGTTTACAGGGATAGCTTTAATTTTGAGAAACTTGTTTCTAAACACTCAAATAAATTGCATGAACTTATCCTAGTAATACTTTTCTTTTGCATTTTAATGTAGTTCTCAGGGTAAGGAGTTAGAGTGTATTTAATATTCAGGATGCACCCCAGAGGCAATAGAGATGATGAGATAAATAATCCATTTTGGAAGGAGGAAAAAAAAAAAAAAGCACAGTCACCAGGACAGTCATCAGGATACTGAAGCAAAAAATATGTTGTCAAGTATGTAGTCAACATACTTCTTGTTCTTCTTCATGCTGTTAATTTAAAAATAGCTTAAAATTTGTACTGTTTGTTATTATAAGTTAGAAGTGGTAAACCAAGAACTGCAGAGCACTGTGTTTGACTGGTGATTCAGTCTTGTGCAAATGGTTTTAAAAATCTGCTAACAGTACTTCTGCTTACAGTAGAAAAAATATTCAGGTTATTTCAAAGATGTGAGGTAAATATCAATGTATTACTCTAAATACTGTTTCATTATTAGTAGTAGTTTTTCTTTTGTTAGAAAAGATCTTTGATGCTTTATTGCAAGTTAGATGCTATTCTTAAATTGTTGAAAACTGATAGCATGATCTTAAAGATGGTACAGACTGAAGTAGTGTCTCCACTACTTGGTGTCTTACAGACCACAACAAGAACACAGTAATTTGTCAGAACCAGTTCCGTGAGTGATAAACAGGAACATTAATGACACAGCCCTGTTGATGTTCATGTTTGCTCAATACTTGTAGTGTGACAGCTAGGAAATAGGAAGTCCTCAGATAAAACACTTGAATATGAAAATTTCAGCCTGTGAGATTAATTGCATGAAACTTTATATTGGCATAGTGCGGAATAGTGAACTGATTTGTACTTTGTCTTTCAGATGAACCAGAGACACGAGATGCGTGGTGGGCAGAAATCAGACAAGAAATAAAATCCCATGCCAAGGCATTGGGTTGTCATGCTGTAGTGGGCTACAGTGAATCAACTAGCATTTGGTAAATCATGATTTTTCAAAATGCCACAGAAAATTTATTTATTTTTCAATGGATTACAGACAGAGAACTGTTTCAGCACAGTTGTTGTCACTCTCTACTAGGTCTACTTTGGAGAACATGCTGAAGTAATTTCCTTAAGTTTCAGAACTGAGCTTAAAAATTTAAACAGTCTTTCAGATTTCCTTTTTGTTAATAGGTTTTGGTTTGGGCTTTCGCTGGGTTTTCATTTATTTCGTAGTGACACTGTTGTTCTTATTACTGCATTAAAAAAAAAAAAAATTCAAACCTGAATGTTTGTGTTTGTAGAAGTAGTACCAATTTCTTTGAAGTTTTCTAAACCTAATCTACTTGAAGTAAAAGTGGTGGACTGGTACTTCAGTGGTAAACATCAAACTTGAGACACAAGTTCTTTACTAGGAATGTATTAAATGTACGTTAAAGGAAAATGTGCTGCCTAATGCATAAGAATGCTTGAGGTATAAATATACTGCATTTCTTTTTAAAAAAGTGCGTGTCATTATTTTAGAGTATGTAAAACTGCAGCTCTGCAGTAGTCTTTCTGAAAGTCCAGTTTTAGAAAGCAGTAAGCTCCCCCAGGCATGTGTCCTACTCAGGCCAAAATTCCTGTGTCTTGCTGAATTCCTGTTCACTAAGAAATGCTAATCTTGTATATTTTATGCCTTAATAATCTGTGAGAAGTCTGGAGATAGGGAGAAATATCTTACAATTCATCTTGTTACAGAATTAATATATAATCTTGTTTAACTTTAGGTATTGGGTAAAACTGTACAGAGTTAGGCAGTCAATTTTAAGATTTCATACATTCATTTCCTTTAGAAACTTAGTGTAGTTTAATGTTTGAGTTTTTGTACTTACTTGTCAATTAATATTTATTCCATAAAGAGCAAAGCTGTGTCTGTAGTACTGCTCTGCTAGATATGGTGTATAAAAATGATTCTGAAAAAAGAAATGACAAATAAAGAAGGCAAATATATCATTCTAGAAAATGTAGGAAAGATGTTTTCCGTATTTTTTTTCATCATAGTATTTTAAGTACTGAATATTATAGGTTTATTTCATATTTAACTAATTTAAAAATGCTAAAAGCTTTGTGAATCATGCTTTGCATTTCTGAGAGTTTTAACTCTTCCAAACCAGGAATGTGGCTGGTTATTTTACGTGCTGTATGTACTATGATTGTAGTTGTTGGTAGTTCTGCTACTTACTATCTTCCAAGAAGCATCTTGTTGTCCACGTTGTATTGTAACTTCATTTTGAGAGTAATTGTCTGTAAGATGATGACACTCTCAGCTTCCAGTTCACTTTGGTAAACAGTTATGCTTTTTCATTTTTTAAACATTTCTTTGCCTTTGTTGGATGACTGGATTTCTTTTCATTAACTGTAGTGTCAAAAACCTGGGTAACCTTTGTGGTACTGTACTATATTCTTTATAATGTTAGGCAAAGCTCTTTAGTCTTTCTGTTCATTCCTGCTTTGCTTACTGGTAACATAATTTAAATACTGAAAGAGGATTGTGTGTGTGGTCTCATGGATAAAATTGAATGAATGTGTAAAATTAGTAGCTATATTGAATTTACAGAGACTTAAGTACAAGACTTTTTAGTCTAATCGTTTTATTTGAAAGCAGTACTGAGTAGTAGGAATTCACTCTGTTGTAATTTTTTTCTCTTATAGTGAAGAGGTCTGTATTTTGTCCGCGTCTGGCACAGCAGCTGTACTGAACCCTAGGTTTCTTCAGGATGGCACCATGGAAGGCTGTTTGGATCAAAGGTTGTCATGGCAGCCTGGCTTCTTTTCCATAGGGTCAGAGAAGGGAGAGGTTGATTTTTTTCCTCACAGCCAAGATAGTTCTTCTCTATTAGGGTAGGTTACAGTGTTACAGTGCAGGATGCGGGACCAACCACTTTACTGCTTTTCACTAACAACAACAACAACAGAAGTAATGGAACTCTACAACAAATTAGATATTCTATTTTTATTTTTAACAGTCTGAATAAGGTAACACATTTGATACTAACCACAGATGATAACTCAGTTTTTCTCTTTGCCGTTCCTCAGGTATCTTTCTTAACTTTATATCACATAGAAAAAATGACAGATGTATCATATGTTATGTAAGCCAAATTCTACTGTGGCTATCATATCTGTATATGTGCTCTGTGTGTAGGAGATAAAATAGCTTAGTTGTAAAGCAGTGATGGTCACAGATTTTTTTTCACAAGATGTATGTTTTTAGGTGAAGTTCATGAAACAAAAATCAAGAAACTGAATGAAAACCATGAAGTTTCCTTATACATCCCTTTGTTTCTGCTTTTGCAAATAAAACTTAAAGAATGATTATTGACAGACAATTACTTTGGGTAAAAAAACCCACAAAAACAAAAAAAACCCAACTAGTTAGGTTAATACATAATGGTTGCTTATTTGTCAGAAAGGTGAGCATATATTTCAAGGGGTGACTTTAAGTCACAAGTAAGGCTATTTGTTAAATATTAACACTTGTATTACTTTTTTCATATAATCCTGCTAATGTTGTGCAGTTTATTATTATTATTATTTTTTACTCTATCAAGAGGCTGTTATCTTCTTGTGCAGATAGGGTCTTGAAAAACGTAGCCAGAACACAAATATTTGTATCTATATTCAGTATATCGCTCTACATTCTATCAAAAGAATAAGAGATGGAAAGAAAGAAATGTGCTCACATTGTGAAGGAAATTCTGTTTTTATCTAAATATGTATTTCAGTGCTACTAAGAGTCTTGGCAAGGATAACAAAGTAAGATAAAGCAACCAGACAGACAGATGTGTCTCAAACCATGTTTGAGACAAAATATGCTTGCCAAAGTGATCCTTAATGTTCCAAGTCTCTCGAATTTGTTTTAAGCATCTCCTCAAAAATAACTGAGAAGCACTGGTTTATGTGAAACAAAGTAAGTTTGCAGGAATGATGTTAGCATACATGTTCCTTGTTCATATTTTTTATAGTGGTCGCTCCTGGATTTTTCCTGCTGGGAAGGAGGACTGTCTGTTTTAAATGAACAGCAAGTTTTACCAGATACTTTAGTGTAGAGAATATTTTTGCAATGTTAACATCTATTGTGCTTCTCAGTAGGATGGTTGTTCTGTCATTTATGTTCTGCTTATTAGGCTTGAGTAGGTTTTTTGATACAATCAGATAAGAGACTTACATTTGGTACCGCAAATTCTCTGTAAATGTGATGTACCATGAACTACATTTAAAAAGTTGTAGAGCCTAAAGCTAGCTCAGTAATGTTTTAGGAGTACATCAATCATTGGCCGCTGTATGTATTCGATCCCTGTATCATAAGTTTGAGCACAAGCCTAATTTATGTATTAGCTAGTGTGCAACCAAATTTTAACCTTTCATTGATGAAATGCAGTACACATGTGCACATGCTGATGCTTGTTAATAAGATGTGGATGTTTTAAGTATGTTCTCCATAATGTATTTTTAGGATTGAAGAAGCTTCACCACCAGGTTGTGGATTTTGCCATATACCATACGATGAATTGAACATGCCATTCCCTGCTCACCTCACTTATTGTTACAACTGCAGGAAGCAAAAAGTTCCTGATGTCCTTTTCACCACAATTGATCTTCCTGTAGAGGCCACTGTTATTGGAAAGGGATGTCTTATTCAAGCCAGGTATTGATCAAAATGTTTTCTTCATGAAGTTTTAGAGGTCTTCGAAAGAATTCCTGTTACTGTAGTTGAATATGTTTTCAATCTTAAATTTTCATTTAACAACAGTGTATTAAGGTACATAGGGAATGCCACCTTTCTCCTCCCATTGTGTTATGTGCATGTCTGTTGATGTAACTTTTGTTTGTTGGTGGACACTGCTGTGTTTTGTCTGCATGGATTATAAGGTAGAGTTGCAATGCTTGCTGATTAGGACTGCTAACGTGATCTGTTACAGTTATTCCATTGTAAACTCAACGAATTCTTTAAGACAGTTGTATTAATACTTTGCTGTTGTCCATAATTTCAGCTCTGTAGAACTGTCAGCTGTGTCCCATTTATGCTGGGGCCTTTCAATTTCAAAAGGGGAATAAGGAAATTTATGGGAAGTGGGAAAGAAGGAAGGGTTAGCTGTGTACGATACATATGGTTGTCCAGTTGTGTGGATAGATAACTAGTTGGATGGCTGGACTGAAAGAATTGTGGTATATAGTTCATAACCTACTAGGATGACCTAACAAGTGTAACAAGTTCTGCAGTGGGACCTGTACTGTTGGACACATGGGTGTGGGTAAGGATTTGTTAGTTATACTGCATTGAAGGTGGTGAATTAATTAAGTTGAGCTGTGTTCTCCAAGACTAAGAAACACATCAGCAAATTAGAGAGTTTAGTGGAGGACCACCAAAAGAGTAAGAAGCACCTACCCTTACAGGAGAAGCTGAGGCATCTGGACTCATTCAGTGTGGAAAGAAGGTTTCCGGGGTATCTAACTGCAGCCTTCTTACACTTACAGGGAGCTGCTGAAGAAGACATTAGGCAGGGTGGTGCACGGTGGATAAGAGGCATTTGCCTTAAATTGAAAAAAAGATTTAAAATATATTCAGAAAGATTTTGAGGTGAACTTGTTAGGATTAGGTGAATTACTACTTTTTTCTGGTCATGTAGTAATTTGGTCCGTAGAAGGAAATAACTGATCTTATCAATAGAAGACAGTTATCATTTGTTCTTTTTGAATGCCATTCTGCAACTGAAAGTAAGCGGTCATTACACTAGTGTGGTGTTTGAGTTTCAGCCTATGAGACTGAAGCTGAAGAAGGGAATATTACTAACACTCTAGTCAGAGATGGTATTTCTGTAGCCTTTTATTCATGAGAAATGAGTATTTCTAACTTTGTTATTGCTTGAGCTGTGAGGGCACTGATTTTTTCTTCTACTTTTTTTCCCTTTATTCCCAAGTATTACTTGAAAAATTTCCATTAATATAATTATTCAAGTTCTTCCAGTAGAGTAATGTTCTGAAATTGTACCTTAAACAATTAGGAGGCTTGCAGCAACAGAAACAAACAGAATAGGTGTTCAGTAGTTATTTCATGCTGTCAGACTATTATGGAAAGAAAACACACCTGCATGATGCATGTTGTTTCTGTCTGACAACACCCTTTAAGCATACTTCACTACCACCACAGAGTGTCAGGGGTTGGAAGGGACCTTCAATAAAGGAGACTTTATTCAGTGGTTTAGAAAAATATAATACTTCTATGTTTTGTGTTCTGCTCTGATAGAGAATATGATTTTAATAATGCTGCAGGTTATTATTGTTCTATTTTACGTTTCTTTTATTGCTGCAGATTTTTGTTTCATATTAAAATAGTTTTGTATTAAAAATGAAGAATAAGTCAGTTATTGAAACTCAGTGCCTAGGTCTTCTCAAGAAGAATTTACTTTTATTTATTTTAAAATCCTGTTTAAAAGTAAATAAATATGGTAACAAGAAACTGGTTGTATTGGTGTTACAGCGATGTGAGAAAGTATCCTGTGATCATTTTCAATTTTCTGGTCTGTTAAAATTGCTGATGTTATGTACTGTTTCTTATTACCAGGTTATGCCGTCTAAAGAAGAAAGCTCAAGCAGAAGCAAACGCAACTTCTATCAGTAATCTCTTGCCATTTATGGAATATGAAGTGCACACACAACTGATGAACAAACTTAAGCTAAGAGGAATGAATGCTCTGTTTGGGCTGAGAATTCAAATCACTGTGGGTGAAAATATGCTAATGGGGTTGGCAGTAAGTACAGTTTTAATCCTGGGACTCTTGCTTTCTTGTGTTATTTTTTCAAGACAGAAAGACGTACACATGTTGTGGAATTCAGGATAGCTAGGGATGTTAAAATGTCATTTTAAGAATAAATTGTAGTGATGGGAAGAAATAAGGTGTCTAATTGCTGTCAGATCAGGACAGATTGTCTTTCAGCACGAGAAAAGAAGATTGGAACCTCTTGAAGCTCTGCTTGTGAAGGATTTTATTAGACAGGGGATGTGAGGGAAAGAAACCTCAGACAGTTCAGTGTCATAAATTATAGAAAAATGATTGCATTATTTAAAGGTCAGAGGTCCTTGTTCTTCAAGTAGCATTAGAGCTCCATGTCAAATGCGGTCGATACATCCTTTGGTTAGTTGCCAACTAGAGAAAGGTTTGTTGCCTCTCCGTTGCAACTATCAAAGAGATAAATAAATAACAGGCGGAAAGTCTCCCAGGTGTAGCGAGAAAATGCGCATTCGCAGTATTTTAAACTACATTTTGTTATGTGGGGTAAGAATAGTGAATTATACTTCTTCCTGCGGCGATGTAAGAGGATGCTTGGGTAATATTGAGTGGCTTCCATGGTTCTTTTGTCTGACCTGATGATTTGTTTCATGAAAATATAGAATGGGTCTGTCACAGCTGTAACTTGTTTGGACAAACTTTAAATGTTGGAAACTGGGAGATCATCACTTGCCTATGCAAGATATACTAGTGCCAGGACCTGTATCAACGTAATTCATTTTGAAGATAAAAACTTAGAATAATGTGGGAGAGTTTTGAATTCATACTTTGTTTGGAACTTGTAGGTAAGTTATGAGCTCCATCATGCAAAAGATCTGTGAGAATAAAGGAGTTTATTAAAAGGCAAGTGTTTTACACATGTGAACAGTAGAGACAGAGATTAATCTGGTTTGGAAAGAGATTGTGCTATAGTGTAAATGTTATAATGCTCTCCATTATAGCATAACCATTATTGAAAACCATTTCTATGAAAAGATTATTACGTGTTTGTGTAAGAGGTTTGAAGATAGTTAAGAGTATTTTTTTTCTTAATGATTTTCTTAAAAGTCTGCAACAGGTGTGTATCTAGCTGCTTTGCCAACACCTGGTGGTATTCAGATCGCTGGGAAGACTCCAAATGATGGCACCTATGAGCAACATATATCTCACATGCAAAAGAAAATAAATGATACAATAGCAAAAAACAAGGAGCTTTATGAGATTAATCCTCCAGTAAGTAAAGCTTTTATATTCTTAAAAGTAGTGTATTCTGAATTTAACACAAATGACATAAGTGATTTTTAAGAGAGATGTGGAATACGTTCGCTATTTTTTGTGAACATATTGTACTTGTCTTAAAATCCAGATATATAAATATATCTATATATATGTAGATTTCTTTCTAAGAAAATGTAGTTTCAAAATGTTCTGATTCTTAAAACTGTAAAGAAATTGCTTAGAAATGAAATGGTTTTAAAACTACATTGAGCAACTTAATCGTGATATCTTTTTTAGGAACTACCTGAAGAAATCATTGGGTCTCCCATTCCAGAGCCAAGACAGCGTTCCAGGTTATTGAGATCTCAATCAGAAAGCTCTGATGAAGTTACAGAGCTAGATCTTTCACATGGGAAAAAAGATGCTTTTGTCTTGGAGGTGATAAATGCTTTCAGTACTACATTTTCACACCTTTTTCTTTTCCCAACATACGTTAAAAACACTCAAACAAGAAAATAAAAACTTCTCTGACGACAGTTTGAAGATTTTATACTCCTTTTTTTTTTTTTCCCATTTTGTGTCATTAGGAAAAATGTCACACTGATGTTTGTATCATATAATTTTACAAACATATAAGTTAAGCTGGTGAGAAATGTTCTTCTGCCTACTTCAAGCAACAGTCATGATGGATCCAAAAGCTACAATACATTGTTATGAATGATGTGGTTCTCTATTGTCTCACTTAATGCATTTTTCTTTGCTAAATTTGTGTTCTTCCTGCTGCAAAGCTCTTGATGTTGTACTTGGATATTCAGAATTATTAGAACAGCAGGTGTCGAGAGCCTAAAGGAAGGAATTAACTTATTTTCTGAACTTACCACTGATGCTTTTCTGAGCGCAAAAATTTAAAACTGAAGAGAACACCATCCAATTCCATCTACAGCTATAACTAGAAACAGAAATTGTCTGTAGATAAAAAAAATGCATGTTTATTTTACCTCTTTCTTCACTTAGATTTAAAGATGTAGTTTTAATAACGTAAAATTTGGAGAAAAGGATCAGGTATTAAAGAACTCTAGAGCTTTGGGATTTTTTTTTGTTTTTTTGTTTGTTTGTTTGTTTGTTTTGTTTTTTTTGTAGTTACAAGTGTTATAAAGACCTGACCTCAACTAACAAAAAGAAAAAAATGAATGAAATTACAACCTGTAATTGCAGCCTGGTATACATTCAATAGTTATGCTAATCTTCACAAAACGCTACCTTCATGGAAAGTAATCTGAAAGAAATGTTGTCAATAAGGGAGAACGTGAGAGGTGCTGTAATAGGCATTAATTTGAAAACACTGAGACTGGAGAGTGGAAAAAAAAAACAAACAGATTGTGAGCAGTTGGTATAAATTAATAAATTGAGATTAATTAGCACTTCTGATGTTTGAGTAAACTTTTGTTCTCCAGTGCTTTACAAGTATGCTAGGATCAAAGAGAGTAAATCGGGAAGGCCCTTAGGTTAGTTTCACATTTAAAATGAGTAAGATCTGTTCTCATCAAATAAATTTTGCAGCTGGCATGATCTGCATAGACTGGTGAATGAAATTGTATCCTCTAAGCAAAAATGATGAGAGATGTACTGTGAGGCAATGTATTTGAGTAGATGAGTTGATCAGAAGATAGTTCAGTGGATGCTGTAGTGTTGGATGACTGTCACAAACAAAGCATGATGTTATTGCATTAAAAAGAGAACAAAGACCATTTCATCGCAAGAAACTATGTAGGAGTTAGAAGAAATACCTGAAAAACATAAACGTCCTCCAATTTGCATCTAAATCTGTTAGCTAGAGGAGGGGTGGTACTGATAAAAGTCAGGCAAACTTCCTTCAGGTGTCCCCATAAAAAAGGTTGATCTGCTATAAGCAAAGATCAGCTACTTAAAAACTGCATTATATAGACAAGCAGAGGTCGGCTCCTTTTTTTTTTCTTAACTGTTTTGGAGAATTCTTTCCTCTACCTTATTTATTAACTATGGTAGAAGTGCTTGAGTGTAATAGCAGGAGGTCCCCATGTGTAAGGGAAAATCATGTATGTAACAGGATACACTATAATGCTGCTCAGAATAGGTAAGAAAAAATAGGATCTCATTAGTGCAGAATGCAGAACTATGAATTAAGGGACTATACTTGCTGGTTTCCATCATGTGGATATATTGATCCTATCATGTGTGCCCCTGTGTTTTGGTAGTGGAATCTTTATTTATAGGGGGGAAAAAAAAAGACTTTTCAGTTTTGTGGAACCACTTACTACTGTATCCCTAGTTAAGAAATTGGTAATTAGACACAAAATTCCAGGAGCTTTAATGAAGCTCCTGACTCTTGATCTCAGGACCACTTAGCTGAAACAAGTTCTAAGGTCTGTGATACCTTGTTGGGGATTTTATGTTGTTTTAAAAATAATTTATTGTCACCTTCTTACTGGGTGCAATTCATGTATATTCTGCGCTCCTTGTTTTCTTAATGCTGGTTAACTGAGGGAACTGTTTTCCAGGCATTTAACGCATCATAGGATCTTGGTTTAAATTCAGAAATTGACTGATGGAATCCTTTTTTAAAATACCTGCTTAGCTGTCAGACACAGATCTCTAGATAACATCACTTTTACGTCTTTCTGAGACTTCTGACCGAAAAAACAATGTGATTTTTATTTATTGCTATCTTTTTTTCCCCCTAGATCGATGATACAGATGCAATGGAAGATGTACATTCTTTGCTGACAGATGCTCCACCGCCTTCTGGTATAGTTAAAACAGTACTAATGGCCATTTTGTGTAGACGGCAGAAGAGTTACATAATAGAAATGCAGTAACTTGTAATTCCTTCTGTGTGTTTATAGATTTATTTCTTAAGAGTTATTTGAAAACTCCACCTAGAAAGTGTACTATATCTCACGATGTATGCTCGCTGTTGCAGGTGAGCCAAAAATGTGTATTGCACTAAAGTAAGACTGAGCAAAATGAATAAAAAAAACAAAAACCCAACAGAATAGGCTATTAACAGTTAGTACTTCAGCAGCACCTTGAAAGAGAGTAGCTTTTTATCAAACTTTTCTGTGTGTTTTGCTGTTTGCATTTTGAACGTGCGCTCTCTGTGTTTGTAGAATTTTGCATCAGGATTTGTACCCCTATAAAAGCCATTGCCCTTGTTTTGAATCAGCTGCCTTCTTAGCTTTTTTTTCCTCCTTCTTCCTTACTGTACTGGGAAGAACAGTGAATTGAATTACTGCTTTCCGTCAGTTTTCTGTATTCCATCTGGGGTTTTATAGGCACCTATCATACCCTACTCAACAGAACTTCTTGATCTGACTCAGAGGCTAATGAAGTCATCGACCATACAGAAGTTTGGTCACACATGTCATCCTTCTTTTGTCTTTTGGAGTTTACCCATGCTTGTGAGAGTCTGTTGCATCCCTGATAATTGCTGCCAGTATTTATCTTTTTGCTACTGTTGAGTCCAGAACAGTTGTTGTCAGTTACCTACTATTATGACTCTATCTTTTATTCCTCATAGATCGTAGCCAACAGACAGATTGTCACTGCATATATGTGATGTTAATTTTTTTCTGCGCCCATCAGTAGTTTATTTATATTAAATTTCATCTCTTACATACTTATTATCTATCATTAGGTCCTGCTGCAGTTGATTTTACTACCCTAAAATGAGGTTGTCAGCAGTCATCTCATTATGTCCTCCCTTACAGATAAGCAGTGTTGGAAGTATACAGTTCTGAGTTACAAATTTATCCACTGTAAAATTTGACCATTTTCTCTGACCTTCTGTTGGGTCTTTTAACCGTCTGTATTTCCTTCAGTGGTGTTCTATTGTATTCCTCAGCATACTGCTTTATTAAAGAGCCTGTCTTACCAAATGCCTTTTTATGCCCCAAGCAGATTGTGTCGATCAGATGTTTAAATGCTTCTTGAGTCCTTCATAGAGCTCCGGTGGGAGTGTGAGCCATTGCTTCTATTTGCAGAAATGTTACCAGCTTTTCTTCAGCATCTTCTTGTTCTTTCTCCCATTGATTTCATGTTCTGGGGTAGCTTCTGGGGTAGTGCCAATATCTGTGCCATGTAAGTTAGTAGCTTCTGGGCACGTAAAAGCACCTCAATACCAGAAGGTGAAAGGATCCCTTTTCTCTGGTGGCAATTACACACCTGTTGGTATATGATTTTTTTTATTTTTTTTTTCCTAGTTCTTTTGCCTGGTTGTTCAATAACTCCTTCAGAAATCTCTATTTAAGACAAGTTATTTGAAATATCAATTAGAGTTTTTCACCGCTGTGGAAACCTTCTCTTCCATAGTGAGCACTGACACAGAAAGTACATGTGGTCTGCTACCTTGTTATTACCTTGAATACCTTGAATATTATGTCTTACTTGACACTTAAGAAGATTTCTGCTTTTGATGTTCTGAAAGAAAATTAATTCATATTTACACTTTTTTTTCAAGCTGCTTCACAGTTTATAGCTTATTTTGTGCGTTTACAGAGATTCTACCAGATTTTTTTCTTTTAGATGTACATTCAGATTTTCAGGGTTACATACTTGCTTTTGATAACTTACCCTACTGTTCAGTTGTTGTGCCTTCTGTTTGTTTGTTAGTTTCCCAATCTCTTCAAGTTTCTCTGAGTAAGTGCTAATATTTGCACTCTCATCTTTAGTTGGTATCTTCAAGCGTCTCTATGCTGTCTTTTGAGGGGTTAGCTTTTCAGCTTCTCCTCTGAGTACATTTTATAGAATCACAGAATCATAGGATCACAAGGTTGGAAATGACCTGTAAGACCATCTAGTCTGTCTTCTCATTACCATTGCTACCACAAACTACACCGTATCTCGTAGCTCCTCATCCAGGTGCCTCTTGTAAGCTTCTTCGTTTGTACTTAGTTTCTTAGGAGCTAAGCTGTGGATTGTTGGTGTTTGCCAGTGACAGTGCGTAAGTATATGTTGATCAGAGCTAAAACGTGTCTTTGTGTGCTTCTCTGTGAGGTTCTTGTTGCGGGGCTTGGCAGGGAATGGCCCCATGGGCAGCCTGGCAGCATGTCTCCCCTGTCAGCATCAGGTGACGTGAGCTAGCCAGTCTTCTATACAGTTGTCACTGTTGCATTTGATGCTTCTTAATCTCTCTGATGTCACCATGTTGAAGGTTCTGGCTTTGCTTTTGGGCAATTAGATAAATATTCAGAATAAGGATTCTGTAGGTAGAGCATTTGATTTAGAAGTTCCATCTTTCTCATCTGTTTTTCACTGCAGTATGAATAATAGAAACTCTGTCTCTGTTACAAGTAATTGAAGAATTGCGAAGAGCTGAAGAACTGCGTTCTTCAGATGTTGCTTTCTCTTTAAATATCATTCTTGTTTGTCTGTTATTATCCAATATTCAGAAATGCTCAAGGGAAATTATTTGCAGAACATCGAGTGGGATTGTATACATTTCTTGAGAAATATTTTCGTATTTCAATGTACAACTTAATTTGCCCAAATATTATCATTACAGGTTTTTACAGTTGCAACACAGAAATTATGCCTGGTATAAATAACTGGACACCGGAAATCCAAGTAAGGTTATTTCAAAAAATAAACCATGAAAACTACCATCATACATTCCCTCCAAACTGTTGAAATGTGCAGTAGTAACTTAAATATATTTTAGGGATCAGTGATTTTGAAAGATGATTTAAGAGGATACCTTTGTGCTAGAAATATGGGTGGCATTTTGTTAAGAACAGGAAGATGCGGAGTCTGTTTTTTGTGTGTGCCTGTGTGTGTGTTGTTTCTATTTTTTAATATTGTTGTGTAACAAGTTGTTACAGAAATGCAAACATTAAAAAAAACAGTTGTGATAAATATGAATTTGAGCTTTCAGGCATTCTTAATAGCCTGGCTAGATTTTAGAGCTTCTTGAACAAATGTTGAAAGTGTTGGCTAGTGTCAAATACTGAATTTGATAGCTTTAGTAGATTAAGATAAGTAAGAATTAGCTAAAGCCAAAATGAAGAAAAAAGAAAACTTCTGTTTGTAATTAACTGTTTTGAGTTAATATATACCATACAATTGTCACATGTAGAGGGGGAGTTAAAACAGATCTAAATTGGCACAGTGCAGGACTATGCTTTGCAGAAATGGAGTTTGAATCTGAAAATGAGATGAATACATTAGCAGCATGCTGTCAGGTTGATGTGTTTGCCTGTGTGTCTGTATATGACATTCCATTATTGTGTACGTTGTTGTACACAATTTATGTACATTATATTTTCTTTGGTTGAAAATTATGTAGGAGGTAGAATGGCATACAGTATTTTATATCTTGATCAGTCACCTTTTTCACATATTCATAAACAGTAGTTTGCAGAGATTGTCTTTTGTAAAATTTTGAAGACGTGCTTCATTAGTTTTTTCCTTTTCTTTCCATTTCTGTCTTATTTTTCTTATCTGTGTGTATCTAATTCAGATGTTCACAGCAGTAAGAGTTTCCAGATTAAGCAATATTAATCTAACAAATCAAACACTTAACAAGAACTTCAATGACCTATGTGAGAACCTGTTGAAGGTAAGAGTCTTTGATTTAAAATATACCTTGAATTGTTCATTGGGAGCAAGGTGAAATGAGACTGTAGTGACAGTAATGTTTTCTTCGTAGTTGCATTTCACAATTCGGCTACACTGTGCCTGAAATCAGTTTGCATGCTGCTGATAGATTTGGCCTTTTTTAATACATTAGACATTTCCAAAGATTTTTGAATGAGTCCTTATTGATAATGTGCTCTAGAGAATTTTTACCTTTAATTTCTCTGAATTAAACTTCTTTAAAAAATAATTTTGTGTCATTAACAGAGCTTGTATTTTAAACTGCGATCTATGGTTCCGTGCTGCCTTTGTCATGTGAATTTTACTGTCTCTCTTCCAGAGGATGAAATAGTTCAGGTAAGTGTATTGCTTCTTCAGAATTTCAGCATGTAGGCGTGCCAGTTTTGCCCTTCAGTTAACACTTGGTCCAGTAGGGCGGGATTATAGGTGTGCTTGGTGGATTCTGAAGTGAAACTTAAGGCTGTGAAGAGGAAAGGTGACTATAGAGGCACTAGTTTTGAGAATCGTGGGACTGCACACATAGCAAATCATGAGCATGGGGTGTCTTCATGTTAGGTTTTAATTAGGAAACAAAAAGTCCAGACCAGGTATGCATTAAGGCATTTATTATACTAAATATACTGCCGTCTAAAATTACCTGTATTTTTTTCCTTCAGTTTCAAGATGATGCAGTCTACTTAATTTTTTTTAAATGACATTATTTTTGGGATCAATTAAAAATCTCTTTCTTTCCCTCAGGCAAAAGGTAATAATGAGTTTGTATGATATTTCTTTTGTCATTTCACCAAGAAAGAAAGAGTGAACAAACTGATGAATAAAACTGTAAACACAGGAGAAACACTGCCATGTATGTTCTGACTTCAGACCTTAGTATTCCTGTTTATTCTGTGCAATGAAGGAGGTTTTTAAATATATCTGCTTAATTATTTTTTCTTTCATTATTTTCCTGTGGAAAAATCTGTTGGGTTTTTTTGTTTTGTTTCATTTTGCTTGTTTGTTTGTTTTCTTCACTTGGCTTTCTTTTCCAAAAAACTTTGGATTTTGCATAAGAAATTAAGTTGCTAACATGCCATCAATTTCTGATTTGCAGATTGCAGTCACAGCTGTTGCAATTACATTTGACAAAGACCAAGCATTACAAGCAGCCAAACCTCCTACAGAAAAATCACAAAAAAGAGGTAAATACTGTGAGGCCTATTCTATAACGTCACAGTTATAATACAGATTTGTTGGAGCTCATGCATGTGACCTCCGGTAGAAGGATGCCTTACTTGTCAGGTAGTTGATATTTGTACCTATTAGACAAAATTACAGCCTTAGGAAAGAAATGTTTGCTGTTCCCATTTTCTGTATACCATATTTGTTAGAATATTTTTCTCTATAAACAATTCATGTAATACTTGGCATTGTTTTAATTGTATTTTTATGTGTGTAACATAAGCCACTGTGCTTATAAGAACTGCTGCCCTTCAAGAAGGAATAAAATGAATTACAATAGTTGGAAAAAAAAAAAACCCACACCTAACATGAGACACAAACTCACAAAAATAATAAAAAAGAAAAAAAAAAAAAAGAAAAAAAAACAACAAAAAATCATAATGAGGTACATTTTTGGGGCATCAGTAAAGCATTATGCCATATAGCATTATGGAGAGAGAAGAGATTCTACTTTACTCTGCCTTTGTCTTTTCTAACGAAGCACCGCCTAATGCTAGGAGTGTACATTTGCACTCTGTATATGAGAATTTAAACAGATGGAATTTTGAAGGTATTCCATTCTGATAAATGGAATTTAGTGGCAGAACACAGTGTCATATTTTTCAAAAATACTAGTTGTATCTCACCTTCTTAAGTAGTAACAGTACATTTTCTCTTACATTAAATAAATCAAATGTTGCTTTTTTTTTTTTTTTTTTACTAAGCTGGCTTGGATTCCACTGTAAAATCAAAATTAGAAGATGCATAAATTGACTTAACTTTCTTTTCCTGAAAGTATTGAGTTCTGATAAGAGAACACAGGCTCTGTTGAGTTTTACAGCTGGCTTTGCTGTAAGTCACCTGACTGGTCAAAAAGAACAGCACTACTATATGCATGTGTTGGAATAATATATTCTTTTACGGCCTGGCTAAACTGGATCTATAGTGCTTACTACTACTGGCAAGTCATGTTTTCAGAGTAGTTATTAATTTGTTGTATTTTCCTTGAAGCGTCAACAGACAATGAAGAACAGCTACAATTTCCATTGGAACTTAGCTCTGATCCCCTTGCTTCTCAACCATTCTCAGCAGCTAAAGGTTGGTTATATGGAAGAAAAATGAACTCTTTCCTTTTTACTGATTTTAAGTGTGACTTTTTCACCGTTGTAGTAGCCTTTTTAAACATCTGTATTTTCATTTTAAATATTGTTATGCCTATGTATAATAAATACTCCTGCAGTCAATTTTTTGAGTCATATAAGGTCTGCATTTTTCTTTGGTAGATTTCCTGTATTCTTTTCTCTTCCATTATATTTAGTTCATGGAAAATATAAAACCACTGTGTGTTGGGTGTCATTTCACTTAGAAGAGTTATAAATTACTTTATAATTAGACTTGTCTCATGACCTTGCTTCCACAGATGGGCCATATAAAATAACAATAGTCACTATCTCATAGATTTTTTTTTTTGTGCGGTGAGAAATATTTCAGACAGCAAATGCTGACTTTTCAGCTGAGCTAAATTGCATGAATTTTTTTTTGTAGGTGTAGGCGCTCTTACCTTGTACAGTAAATGTCAAACAGCTTTCATTGAAATCATCTACCTTGACTTCCTTGTATGTTGTTGGTTAACACCTCTGTTAGTAAGTGGGATTGAGTGCATGCTCAGCTGGTTTGTGTGTGATACGGAGTTGTGTGGTGTGGTCGACGTGCTGAAAGGCAGGGGTGCCATTCAGAGAGATGTATGCAGGCTTGAGAGTTGAGCTTGTGCAAATAACATGAAGTTTGATAAGGCCAAGTGCGAGGTTTTGCACCTGGACTGGGAAAATCCCAGACATGAGTACAGACTGGGAGAAGAACTCTTAATGTGCAGCCCTGAGAAGGGCTTTATTGTTCCTGTGGATGAAAAGCTGGATATGAGCCAGCAGTGTGCATTTGCAGTCCAGAAGGCCAACTGCATAGTGGATTACATCAACAGAGGGCGACCAGCATGGAGAGGAAGGTGTTTTTTAGCTTCCAGTTATTTTGTTAGCATTGTGACTAAAATTGTCCCTCTCATCTGTCTGCAATGTGAGTGAGCCTCTAATGTCTATTTCTTGTCACATCACTGTGCAGGTTGTAGAATGGGTAGTGACCAGTAGAGGGTAGCCTGTTCACGGAGATTACTTTTTCTGGTGGTCTTCACATTCCATGTACCATAGCTCACCTTCGGGGTTTTCAGATAGATAACTATTTCAACTGTCATTTCTTCACAAATAGACACTGAGGTTTCAATGCAGATTTGTTTGGTAGCCTATTTAAAATACAGATCACCTTGTTTTTAAAAACGTAATATCCAGAAGTCAGGATGAGACCCAGTTTCTGTAGTGACAGGCAGTAGTGATAGACTTCAAATTCATCAGTCAGAGCAAAAAGAGCGATCTTCATTGGGCCATTAATTCTAAGAACCATGCCTGTCTGCCATGAGAGGTGATAACAGTCAGTGTGCTGAAGTGATGGGTGTATTTACCTGTGTGTTTGGCAAAGCAATTGCTAAGAGTGCCAAGATAAATGTGAAGTGGATAAAAGATTCTTCTCACAGGAAAAAAAGGGCAATTAGAATTGTCATAGTATCACTAAAGTTGGGGAAGACCTCTGAACTCATCCAGTACAGCTGTCAGCTCACCCCCACCATGCCCACCAACAACATCCCTCAGTGCCGCATCTCCATGTTTCTTGAACACCTTCAGGGATGGTGACTTCACCCCACCCCGGGCAGCCTGTTCCAGTGCATCATTGCTGTTTCTCAGAAGATACTTTTCCTAATATCCAGCCGGAAATGATTTATGACGTTATTTGATGAGTTTACTCTATGCTTTGTGTTCAAAGAAAAATCATAACTAATCTCAGTTTTTCCCTGTTTACTGAAAATCTTTTGCTTTGATAATAGGTGGGAGGTGGAAAAAAAAGAAGTTGGCGATTCTTTTGTTTCAAACAAACTTCAAAGTTTATTTGACTTCTGCAACATGGAGTCTTAGCTAGTTTGTTTGCTTGTTTACATTAAGCCAAGTATGAATGGCTAGGTGATAGCTATTTGTTTGTCAGAACTGTTTATTAACAAAGCATCTTTTAACTTGCAAGACAAGTTTAATAAAGATTTGTACCAATGTATAATCTGTTACCAAGGTACGTGACATAGGATATTATATGCAGGGGATTTTTCTGATATTTTACTGTAAAACTTTTATGAGAAAGAAGTTGTCACATCCTACATGACGCACAGTTAATAGTGCCATAAATTATCTGAGTGAAATTTATTCTGTTTTGTTAGAAGTCCCGGAGGGTGCAAGTTCCCACTCAGGTATTCCTGCTGCTCAGAGAGGTGAGTTTACTTCATTTAGCTGTATGCCAGAACAGAATGAGCATTCTTAGGCCATTGGTATACTCTTTTTGGATGTCTCTTAATCCAGGAAGTGTTTACTAGTTAACTGAGAATGCATGCTCTGGTGTGGCTTAATGATATCAGAAAATTTGGATGGTTTTTTTTTTTTTTAATTACCAAAGCCTATGCATTAATAGCAAGTGTTTTTCTGTGAGATAAATTAAGATCACTTTATCTGCCAGAGAATGAGTTCCTTGAGAGAGCTTTTTTTGCTTTTAATACCTTAATTTGAATTAGCATGTGTTCCTTCCGTTTCTTTGGGATCATGAAGAAACGGTGTTTGCAAAACTTTTTTTTTTTTTTTTTTAAGATGTGCAAACACTCCCACAAGCAATAGCAAAAACTCACAGCAGAAATAAGTCTGGTTTCCACTGTAATGATAGTGGGGATGGAGATGGAGGACGGCATTTTGTTACAGAAAGCTCATTTATGTTTTAAACATAGATGCTGTTTCAGCTTCTGACTCTGGTCCTCACCACCAATACTTCTTTTCAGTCTGTAGGTTAATTACTGATAAAGGTAGTTAGGAAGCTTAAATCGCCATCTGCAGCTCCTCAGGAGGAAAGGAATAACAACGAAAATTAAAGTTAAACAAGGCCTAGGTAGACAAAACCCAAAATTCAATACCTACTGTGAGATTAAAACAAAAATTAATGAATAATCTAACATAAAGAGTTAATGACTGTATTTGCATGTTTTTTCAGTGCTGAAGTCCCGGTCAGGCAGTTGGTTCACAACTGTGACATCACCAGAAATGGGTACACTGGCTTGGACAAGTGCAGATTTATACTGTAACTTTTCCTTTAAACAGACCTGGAAAGGGGTGTTCGATCTCTCTCAGACGCAGATAATTGCTTCCTCAGAAGGAGCACTGAGATGAGGGAGAGACATCATCCATATTTTTTTCTTTGTTTTTCTTTTGTTTTTTTTCTGTCTGTGTTTTCAGCAACGTCAGTTGATTACAGTTCCTTTGCAGACAGATGCAACAGCTGGATAGAGCTCATTAAACTGAAAGCTCAGACCATAAGGCGCGGATCAATTAAGACAAGTAGGCGGCTGTTTCTACCACGTTATGATAATCTGAGACATATCTCTGATTTCCCAGTGGTGAATAGTGGAGTTTCTTGCCCAGCAGTACTATTGCAGGTCACACGTAGAATGAATAGTGAAAAATGCCGACTTGTTAATGACTGTGTAAGCTAATAGGGGGTGTATGAGCTGGTGTCGTAAAGAGCAAAATACAGTATTTCTGTTCACTTAGTTATGATGTTAGTTATGGATAAATGTGTACGCCTACTAATTATATAACATACACTGCATGGATGTAGGTGTATGTATGATCTTGGAAAATTTTTGGTGAGAAACAGGAAGCAATCACCAAGGTGACAGTCAAGGCAATGGTCACTAAATTAGCAAGTGGTGAGTTCTTTTTCAGTAGTTCTTTGGCCACAGGTCTGACTATCTTGCTTAAATAAGTAGAGATTAATATCTGTGTTAATGGAAAATGCTGCACTGGGGAAACACAACAACTTTCACACTTCCTGTAATAATTTGTTTCTCCGGCAGAATTTGTATTTCAAAATGTTGGCACTTTTTTCTTTATCTTCACTTTATAACTGATTGTTGTATGTGCAGCTACTCGCCTCAGTGTTTTCTTTTGCAGGAATGCCACTCTTCCAAATAAATTCCATTTCAGCTTTTTGTCTCCTTTTGCATGCGTTGCATGATAATTTCCTTTCTCACATGGTATGGCTGAGCATCACAGGCAGCTGAATGTTGTCACCAAGCTATTTGGAAACCATAAAGAAGAATTGTTGTGTTTTAGGAAATAGGAATCTTACTTTGATAGTTACTTTCTCTTCTTTCTTTTCCATCTGTTTAGCTGCTTCAGTTGATAAAGCAAGTCCATTGGCTGAAGGATACTTACGACACCGTTCTGTTCCATCATGTACCAATTCTACCGTCTCTGTTGTTAAGATGACACCTCTTTCTTTTATTCCTCGGGCAAAAATAACCAAATACCTTGGGATAATCAACATGTTTTTTATACGAGAAACTACTTCTTTGCGTGAGGTGAGCTGTGCATCAGGGATTTGTAGTTTTTAAAATAATAATAATAATCAAAGCCAAGTATATGTGGTATCTGCTGAGGTTTGAGTGAGCAGTGGCACAGAGGATTGAGATTTTGTCGCTTCAGGCGAGGAGCTCAGTGGGGATCAAGTTGCATTGTGCTGCTCTTGTCAAAATAGAGTTTCTTTGTATCTGGCACTGTTAAGAAAACGTTACTTGTCCTCTGGCCATTGCTGACAGCTAATTTGAGTATACTGTTCAACTATAGGTTCTTAAACAGAACCATATGAAAAAATGAATCATTGACTAACAGTGGAAGTTGGGATCCCAAACTGAGTTTTGAACCCCAAACTGAGAATCATTTAATTGCTATAAGCCAGCCAAATGAAATAATGCCCATTTTATTCACTCATTTAGCAAGCTCAGCAATGAACTTTCACATTCTACTTAGATGTTACAATTCGTTGGTTGTTAATGTTTTCCCGTATTATATATAACCATTATACAAACTTTTTTAATGTTGTATTCTCTGCATGCTCAGTAACATAGATCTGTGCCATAAATGTCTAAGATGTGTTCCTTCTCACCATTGAGTACCTTTGGGAAATAGCCACATCCTTCTGCCAAATTTCTAGACACAGAAATAAACTGTTCCTCATCTGGTTTGCCCATACTGAAACTATGCTGTTTACTGCTAATTATGCATTGATAAATAAAAACTTGCTGCCAGTTCTATGAAAATGCTTTGAACAGACAAATCTCTTGCAATTAATGGTTCCTTTTAACTTGAGAAGTCTATATGAAAAGGATGAAATAAGGTACACCCAGGGCATTGGTTGCACGGTGCTTTTGCTCTAACTGCGCCTTCTGTAGTTATAAATTAAATAGCTGATATGCAGACTTTGCTGATTACTGTAATGGATCTAAGCAGAGGAAGTTGCTCGGGTGTTTGATTCACTTCCTCCATGAAGTTGGGAAGCCTGTGCAGTTTTTGTGGTGTTGACAGTGTGCTGCTGGCATCACCAAGGGAAGCTGATTAACACCTATTTCAGCTATGTAGGCTGAGTCACAAACCAGCTTTAATAGTGGTTGCAGAGTTGTGTTTTATACTCTGTATAAAAATAGTTGGCAAAATTGCTTTCTACTTTGGTTATTTTACAGAGTATTGAAGCCATATGAACTCTTTAATAAGTTCAACTGTATGCAAGACACTGTACTTCATAAATAGATAATTTTAAGTTCAGTTTATTCATTGCTCCTAAGCTTTGAAATCTACATGGATATTTATAATCTTTCATTATCTGTTGTCAACACATGTATCAGGTTTGTAGTATTACAGCTTTTTTTCCACTGGTGCTGTAACTGTTAAAACAGGTGGACAAACTGAATTTCACAAGGAATGATAAACTCATTGAAAATGTGATTTCTGGCTGCAGGTGAATTCATTCATGCTTTATGCACAGATTCACGTGTTCTTTCTGGTATCTAATGTATCATCTACCCCAAAGACACTCAGAGACATTTTCCAGTAAATGTTAGGGCAGGCCGTAGTTGTTGAAGTCCAGCTTAGTTTCTCACTTCTACTTTCCAGTTTCATATCCTAGAGTGGCATGCACAAGTGGGAAGTCAAGCAGTCTTGTCTTCCTCTTCTCATTATGAAATTTTGTAGATGCTTTGAGCCAGTAGTGAGCTCTGTTTTGTCAGTTTCTTTCCACATCTTTTTTTGGTTTTCTTTCTTTCTTTGCATATTTTTCTGTTTGTTCCCCCCTATTCTAGTTGCTACTCATATGCTTTCATAAGGATTGACTAAGAAAAAAAGATACTTTATTGTGTTTCTTCTCCCTCTTTTGTACCAATTCAAATTACTGGGCTCAGCACCATGCAAACAAAAGGCCCCCACGAGTGCCACCAAGTCAAAGCAGTAACTAAACACAATGGCCAGAAGTTCTTTTGGTCTTCACTGGGAAAAAAACAGCCCTCTGTGTACTCCTGAAAGAACAACTAAATCCACCCACCAGTAAGAAACCAAACAGCTTGAACAGCATCTCAGCTCTCTGATCTGTCCTTGCTCACTTTGTATTTTGAGGGATCTGTTCTTAGTGAATGTTGGGAACTCAAGACAGTCCTTAGCATACGTGGAGCGATAGTAGCCACTCCGTACTCTTAATGATTCTCCATGACTCTTAGTGTTCAGTGTAAATTACTCTGTATTTACTTCCCAGTTTTCAGGAAAAAAGGGCAACATTCTTTGTGATGAAAGAAAAAATCATTTCTCGGATGTCAGTTGAGTGTAGCTGTTTGTGCAGAGGTGTAGGAATGTCTGAAAAGAACCGCTGTGTGTGATACCCAGTTGTGGTTCCTTTTCTCAAGCAGAGAGTTTCATTGATCTGAGGTTTGACTGTAACACATGAAATGATGAATGGGTTTTATGTTCTGTACACAATACAATTTCAAATGTGCTGATGTATTTGGTAGATAAAATGTAAGGGAAGTATCCTGTTGTGATAACTATAACTGACATAAAATACCTTTTTTTTTTCTTCCCATTTTAGGAGGGTGGTGTCAGTGGCTTTCTCCATGCTTTTATTGCTGAAGTATTTGCAATGGTGAGGGCACACGTTGCAGCGTTAGGGGGCAATGCAGTTGTCTCATACATCATGAAGCAGTGTGTGTTCATGGAGAATCCAAACAAAAACCAGGTGAGTTATGGTATGAATCACAGTGCCTGTATTAGTATGACATGAATATACAAACTTCTTAGGAATTCTCTGTTAGAGCCACGTGTGTGGCACTTCTGGATCTCTCGTTTCTTTAAAGAAGCCAAGAGCACTCTGTGCACCCAAGCTAACGTAAAGTTGCAAATATTTATATTGATAAATTCCCAAATGGATAAAAAGAAACTAAGGTCACTAGAATGAAGTACATTGTGGGAAGCAGTAGAACACAGCAGTGCTGAATGCTTGGCTTTTCTGATTTAGTAGCATTAGTGTTTTAATACTGTTCATATAGAGATTTTGGTTCATTTTAATCATAAAGTGACAAAATTTTGTTAGAAGACAATTGAATGTGGTTGTTTTGGTACATGAGGTAAATTCAAAGCATCAGTGAAAATGAAGAACAGCACCCAGGTTATTGTATGTTGCTGATCTCATGAGAATATGTCTACACAGTGTAAAAGTGGGAGGATATGAAAAGGAATTTATCCCTCTCTGATCTGTGCCAACAGATCTGTGTAATTCTACTTAGCAGCTTAAACAATCACATACTTTGTGTTTACTTGTATGTTTGGTAACTGTATGTTCTCTTTGTTTGTCTTCCTACAGGCCCAGTGCTTAATAAATGTAAGTGGAGATGCAGTCATTTTTGTACGCGAATCAGAGCTGGAGGTGTTAGCGGTGCAGCCTGCTCCAGTTGCTTCCCAGCCTACAAGTACTGGAGGAGATGTCACAACGTGAAGGCAGAACGAGTGAAATAGTCTTCCAGATAGTTTGTTTAAAATGTGGGAATGTTAGGATTGCGTCTTCAAAATCAGTATCTTCCTTGAACGTCATTAGCCAAAGTGTAAGACAATCACAGTATTCTGTCCTCCAACTCCATGCAATTGTCAGGACCACGTATTGGTAGGAATGCTCCGATTCTTTGGGAAATATTGCAGGCTCCTTGGAGATGTAGACAAGCAGAAGCGGTGATAACAAGTGCCGTAAGAAAGGAGACATCCCAGAAAAGTGAACTAAAATCCCGTTGCATTTTCAGCTGTTAACAAACCTGCAATACATTAAAATTCAGAACCATCTCCGAATTCCCTTCCTCTATCAGGTGCTTCTCAGCTCACTTCAGAAAGGAGTGGGTGTGAGCAGGTGGGCTGCGGCTGAGGTTGTGTCAGCAGCCTGTGCTGTGCTGGGGCAGCAAGGGGAGGGAGCACAGGCTGTGAGATGCAGAGCCTGAACTGGGCTCTGGTCATGCAGCATGGAGAGGAAGGAGCAGCACCAAAATTCCGTTTGGATCTCTGCACACAGAAAAATATTTTTCAACTCTTTGAGAAACTGTTATGTTGTTTTGTTTTGTTAAAATTATGATCAGATGAAATGAAATGTTTGGGGTGTTTTTTGTTCTGTTTTTAGAAAGCTGTCAGAGCGTGATGCTGTGTTCTGATTTCATTATTGGCAAAACAAATATTTTTAATATAAGAATATTTAATATAAGAATTCATGGGAAAAAAAAAATGTCATAAAGCTGATTTCCTTAAGGAATGTCATCTTTGCAAAATAAATAAATAGAATCGTAAACCATCCTCTTAAAGAGCAGAGAGGTACATTGCAGCCCCCTTTCCGTCGGGGGTAGGAAGCACCAGGCTGGTTGTACGCTGTTGTACGTTTGTGATGCTCACTTCTGCACACTGCTTTTCTTTTCCGGTACAGTATCTGGGAAAATGAGGGTACTAAAAAGAAAGGAAAACTGTCATTTCCAGTAAGAGTCTGAAACTCTGTGATACTTCAGTGTAAAAAGATGCAAAGCTTTGATCTGAAGATGCATTCTTACCTAAATCTGACAATACATGGAACTTGAACAAAGGTGTAAACTTGAATGTAAATAGTCTGCTTAGTGTTGAAATTAAGCAATGGCATGGTTATTTGTTAAAAATAATTATTTCATTGTAAATGAGCATGAAAATCATTCTTTGCACAATAAATTTCTGTAAAAAAAACCTTGCCTTTTTATATATGTAATACCTAAATGTGTACAGTGGATGCATATTAAAGATGTCACAATCTTGCCTTCCTCAGAGAGGCTTTTTCTTTGATGTTACAACTGGTTGTTCAGCATTTGGCGAAGTAAAGAATCGTGTTGGAAGGGTTGTGTGGCTGAGTGAGGTGCTCAGCACAGTGCTCATACACTCAGTGTTGTAGAAATTCTCTAAGTTCTGCTGCAGCCCAAACTACTGCGAATGATACCGCCAGTGAGTAGCTGCAGCTCTCCTGATTGTTTTCAAGCAAATTTTGTTCTCTGTGAAGCTGATGGTAGAATAATTTCAAAAGATCTTGGATCTGAAGTAGTTTTCAGCCTGTTTCAGATGGCAACATTGTCTGTAGTAGCTCATCCAAGTGCTGTTCTGGATCTTTTTGGTAGAATTTGTGGAAGTGCCACTATCACTGTCTTTTTCACGTTGTGGCTGTCTAAAGGTCACACTTTCATCTATTGTGTTTCATTAGACCTAGAGTAAATGCTTTTTCATCTCAAACATTTAATTCCTCTCCCATTATTATTCTGGAAATGATGGATGTTTTTAACTGTTGCTGATTGAGATCTGGCTTTCCCTATTTGATCCAGCTGGGTAAATTTAACCTGGAGGAAGCCGTACTCTTTAAGTTGCTTTATGCGGTTTCTTTTTTCCATCATTAAAAAATATTTTAAAACAGTTAAAAGGGATCCATCTGTGCAAATGCAGTCGTCTGGAACACCATGCCTGACACATTTCTCACACTTAAAAAGCAATTTTGACAGAATAATTGAAGTTTCTGCTAATACAGGTGCAGTTAATGCAAGATGTTCAAACCAGATGGGACTTCCAGGTGCAAGATAGCAAACAGAATTGTTTTCTTTGTCAGGATCTGCACTCCAATAATAGCTGGTCAGGGACAAGCGCTAATGCAACTTGCTGCTTTCTCCTCGTATGAGAAATCCAAGTGACAGTAGGGTGAAAGTAGCCCTGCTCCTTGCTCCTATTTGCAGCTCTCACAAGTGCCATCAAGCTCAGGTTTAAACCTGAACACCAATATTGGGAAGAAACCAGGTGGAATCACCCACTACGTCAGACGTGGTCCTGCGCACAGATTGCTAGCAACTGACTGTAAGGTGGGGACAACAGCAGAAGTAAGAAGGATGCAAGGAATGACAAATGATTGCGAAGAGTGAGATGTCAGTGATTGTGAAGCTTATGGAGAGCATTCCAGTGCTTGGATGGTGCATCAATATGAGTGACAGTTTCCCTGGCAAGCACCTAATGAATGTCAGTGCTGAACGCAGCATCAGTCTCCCTTTGACCCTTGGTCTGTGTGGGCAAAAGCAGTTTTTTTGCTATGCGAAATTCGTGAGTTTGGTGGGTGGAGAAAGTACAGTTTGTGCTACAAATGAAATGATGATGTGCCATGTCTTGTCTGTAGAACTGCGTCAGGCTTTGGAGGCCACGGTTACAGGCCCTGCCTGACTTCCCCCATCAGCCCAAGGCCCCACATCAGCCCTGGGGCTGACAGAGCAAGGACTGGACCCAGCTCCCCCACAGTCCTGCCCAGCCTTAGGCCTTGCCGAGCCTGGGGCTTGCCAGCTCCATGCTATACAGCTCAGAGCTGAGTTTCAGGGCGTGGGCTGGCACAGGAGTTTAAACACAAAGCATGGCTTGTTTAACATGTATAAAACCTGCATGGATTGTGGGAAGCAGGTCCTATTCCACACCTCCAAACGCTGCACTTTGAATGTGGTGGCAAAGGGAAATTGGCTGAAGGCTGTGGTGCCTGGTGTGCTGTTGTGACTGCCCAGGGAACTCGTGGGCTGGCAAACAGACCTTGGTGGTCTGCATCAGGCAGTGGGGAAACAGCTGATTAGAAGCTGCAGTTTTAAACTAGTAATTTCACTATGGAAATGGCCTTCAAGTTTCAATTGACCCGCAGGCATTTAGGATAAAAATGCATATTCACATGAAATAGCTCACGTTTATTTTTGTTGCAAAAGCATCTTCATTAATGTGTACAGAAATATGCCCTTAAATCATAGAAAGGGTAGGAGCTAGGGAGTTTACTTACCGCAATTTGGGCTTTCTTCAAAGGAAGTGTTCCTACTGCTTCACAGGAGGAGTATTTCTGCCTGGAAACCTTGAGCGATTTGGAAACATCAGACAAATCGCTGCAATGTAAGTAAACCCCCCCCTAGGAACTCTTTGATTTTGTGGGAGTGCAGCTGAGACCATGGGGCTTTCTCAAGAGATGCCCTTCTCTGCTGTTGTGCACCCAAAAAGCCAGAGGAGCAAGCAAGAGCAGGCAGAAACACTTCCTTTTTCCTGCCTCCTTTTTCCTGCGTTTAGATGTGAAAATGGCAGCTTCTGGTCATGCTTTGCACTGGACACTGGATGGCAGAGCTGTCCGTGTTACATGGCTGTGACTCAGTTTCCAAGCTTTTTCTGAAGTTGTGGATCATGTTTTGGTCTCAGTCTGGGGGTTGGTGCTCTTTGCATGGGTGAAAATGGCTGAGAGGAGCTGATAGAGATAGTTATGATTAAATGGCCATAATCCCCCAGCTCTGTCTTCCTGCCCTTACTCAACCTGCCACGCACGCTCTTAGCTGCCCATGTGTGGAACTGGGTGTGCAGGGCTATCACAGCACACTGCTCTGGAGGGATGACTCGCTTACGCCTGAAACCTGCAAAGGGGCTTTTAAATTGTCACTTTAATTTTACATAAATCAGCCGTTAAACCTACCCAGAGGCTGCGTGAAGAGAATGAAACTCGGCACTAATGCTTTCACAATTCTGTTTCTGTTGACAGCACAGGGCTGTCGTGTTGGAGGTGAAACACTCTTCTGATGCTGTTGTCGCTTTCGATATTCTCCACAAACAGCAGCAGGAGGGCTGAGACAAGGGAAAGGCAAGAAGGTTAGTGGAGAAAGAGCGTTAGCTAGGCAGGCAGGACAAGGAAAGAACTTGAATATCTACCAAGCAAAAAGGACAGAAAAAAAAAAAAACTAATTGGAGAGACAGACAAATAACAATTCCAAAACCAGAATCAAAAAGAAATTCTGAAAATAAAGTGTGATAATAGCTAGTTAATAGTAGATAATAGTTTTAGCAATTAGTACGGCAATGGCTTGCTCCCTTCCAGAATTTTTCCTGAAACTTGAAACATTTAGCAAAGACCAAGATTGTTTTCCATCTTTGTGGTGAGGGACACAAGACTCAAGCTTTTGAATCCTCCTCTGTGAGTAGCAGCTTTACTAAAACAAAAGATATGGCTGGGAGTCTGAGGTGCCCACTCTGCACATTTATGCCTTGCACTGGTGGTGCACTCTGAGATAAACACATGGAGCAGCGTTGCTCTACTGGTTCTGAGAGGGAAGGTGCACAGAGAGGAGACCATGAGACATTTGCCGTGATGCTGCTGTGCTCACAGCTCAGCGGCACGCTGCCTGTTTCTGAGCACTGCTCTTTGGGAAAGGTGTGTGTCCAACAGGGGAGAGCTCAGAACTTCAGCAAACACATTCTGAAGGGAAGGCTGAACTCAGCTGCAGTCACATGGAGAAATGCTGGAGTTTCCTACATCTGCAGCAGAAGCTCGGGTGTAGGGTGTACAGGATGTAACAGTCCTCGAGTAAGGTGGGGAAGGTTCAGGTTGTGCACATAGGAATGGCTTTGCAGTTGTGAGGAGCAGGAAGCACTGCCAAGTTGCCTGGGGAAGTCAGTTATACTCCACCGAATGCCTTAGAGAACTGGTGAGATGAGTGCCTTCCAGGACTTGCATGAGTGCCTTTGAGCGGGAATTCATTGGATAACCTCCTGAGATCCTTTCTGTTTGTCAGACTTCATGCTCCAGGTTCACGTAGGTTCAGTTTAGAACCAAGAAAAATATGTTTCTCTGCAAATATTTTGATCTGGCCTGAGTGGCTGCTCCTAACCTGTGCTCCAGTAACTTCCTGCAGGAAGTAATGGACTTAATTATATACAGCTAGAAACAGACAGTGCTTTTTACAGTCACCTTGCCTGCAAATAAACAGACGTTATTTTAATAATGCAGTAAGACTGGCATGAAACCCAAAGCAGTTGTTTTTTATTATGATTTGTCTGAGCTCGCTATTGAGTTTGGCCTTAAAAAACCTCAACCGACCAGACAATCAACCAAAAACACCCTCTGAAATCAAAGGGTTTCATACTGTAATGGTTATATCAATGTCTAAATCATTTATGTTAAATGGAAATGTGGAAATAGCCTGCACAAAGTTTTCTGAGATCTCAGTCATAATGTTATTTCAAATATATGCACATAAATGTGATCTATTCTGCAATAAAACAGTTACACTGACATTGTGGTTCATTAAATTCAATGAGACATTATTTCTTGCAATTAAAAAGGTGTATGGTACAAGCAGCTGATGTCTCGCACCCCCTGGCCGTACTTAAGGGCGAAATTTCTTTGACAGGAAATAATTTGAGATTTTGCAATGAAATTGCCCATGCCAATAGGCAGCCTGACATGAGAAGCTTTGAGTGATTAATGGCTTCAGCAGTTTTGCCAAAGGTTTACTTGATACAAAGAGCCGGACTGTGAAAAATACTAACAGATTGCCATTAATTTCTCTGCAGCTCATTCTATCAAAAACTTGCATAGCTGATGGTTCCCAAATACCTGCCATGAGACTTTTTGACTGCCGTGAGTGTAGTGCAGAGCCTTTTTAAAAAGGTGATTGTGGTTGAGCAGTGAAGCCCCACAGTGGAATAAAGATGTGTACACAGAGCTCAGGGAATGGGTGATGTGGAGTTGTGGCTGGTTCAGCTGTCACAGAGAAAGCTGCCATTATCTCAAGACAAAAGGGGATCAGAGGGTGTTGGGAATTGGATTCAACCTGTTGAATCCTTCCCAGCAACTCATGATGCCTGGTGTCATGATGGTGAGAGTATCAACAGAAGCCAGCAGTAGGAATCACACTTGGATTGGGATTGAACTGCATGCTGAACTACAGCGACTGCTGTATTTGCTAAATGCAATTCACGTGGGCATTGTGTTTTCACACGTTTTAGATCAC